AATTGTTTTTATATTTATTTTTATTAATTATTTTATCTATCACATATTGTGTATGTGAAGGAGATAAGTTGGGCGATATATGTATTAATGTAAGGAGTTTTAAGATTATATAATAGGATCGGGTAGGGATTTGTGGTTATAATATTGTGTGTTGATTGTATTGTAATGATTTGTGGATGAGAGCATTAAGATGTGGATAAGTTTGGGCCGTTTTCCATCTTCTAAGGTGGCGGTTAGAAGCTCTTTCCATTTATGTAAGGCAGTATTTAAGGAACCGATGTGTAGACGTCTTTACCCCTTAAGAAAAAGTCAAGGAAGTGACGAAATGCGTCAGGACACATGACGCTGACGCATCGACGTCCACCGGAAGTGCGATCGTGGCCATTTTGGAAGTGGGAACATGTGTTTGTTCCCTTGCTTCACAAACACATAGTGGAATTGTCTCTGTCATGAGGGGCTGTTTTCTCCAATTTTGAATGTAAGTTGCTGAATAAATAAGTATTATATTTTATCCACCATATCTAATTGCAGATTTATTTATGAGGGAAATGGAGGAGAAATCTAAGGACTGAGTTGGATCCTGGAGAAAGATGTCATCTTAGCTTATGATATGCCCTTCTGATATACTTACAGGGTAATTATTCACTGCTACGCGAGTTTGAGTGTTATATTGTGATTTTGTGGGTCTAAGGTGATCACTGTTTTGTATATAGTGTAGCTATACACATTATTTGAGTGAGTCACTGATTTGTTGCAGTCGACACAATTGGAGTGATTTCACGTTTGGAGGATTTATATAATATATATATTTTATTTTAATATTTTTTTTTTTTTGCACTAGTTATGTAATTTTTGCATGATTCACAGTGAGTGGCACATATTTATTTTATAAAGGGTATGACACTATCTTGAGTTTTGTTTTTTTTCGAGGTATATGATCATTGGAAACTTCAAGAATTGAGAGAGAGATTCATTTTGAGAGAAGAAAAAAAAGACTTTATTATATGGAAATACATATGGTGATTTAGGACATTGGGGGCATTATTTGTATGGGTATTTGATTTAGTATTTGTATAAGAAAAGGTGTTTATATATAGATTAACTTTCGAGGGTGGAAGTGAGTGACTTTTCTTTAAGAGTGGGATTTATATGGTTATTTTTGTGCTGATTGATAAGTATATGGATTAGAACACCTATTAGGTCTTTATTGTGGTTTTTGCCCGTTAGGGAGATTCACCCACTCTAATTGTCCTGTTTATAATTATTAAAAGTGAAGGTAAAGAAAACTCCATATTTTGGGCTGTCCCCAGAAAAGTAATAAAGAGGAAATTTTTCAATAGGGTCACTAGTTCTGAAGACCTGAAATCCCCAAGGAACTCTCCTAATTTGCGGGGATTATCTCTCACTTCCTGTTTTAGCTATGGGACAAGGAAATGTCCCCCCCATGCGAAGGGTTATAATCCTCCCTTACTCTATCCAAAATGTAAAAAAAAGTTTTGACTATAGTTCTACTTTAAGCATTCATAGGTATTGTTGCCCTACATAGCAAATTATTGCTATATAATCTGTACTTACCTTATACCATGCAACATCTGTGCTTGCATTTGGTGTTTTGTAGTCATCGATATCAGGGCATGAGATCACTTTCGTTTTTGTGACTTCTGCCTTCTCCACATACCGTATTCTGCTGTTGTAACAAAGTCCCACCTCTTGTTCTGCCACAGTCAAGGACATAGACACCTTCATGCAGTATGTGGAATTTCTGCAAATGTAAAAAAAAAGATACAGTAGAAATAACAGCTGTCTCCAACATGCTTTACTACTCAGATTAGTCATTTTAGGGCCCTTTCACACTGATCAGTTTATGATCAGTCTTTCAGTTAAAAAAAAAAGCAGAAAATAATGTATCCTTTTAAATTGTATGGAGCTCTTCACACTGCTCAAGTGCATTTCAGTTGCGTTTTTGGCTGCTTTTTTTACACTGCTCCATTGCAAAAATGCATATTTTTCAGCTTTGTTTTAACTGAAAAACTGAAAATCAGTAAGAGAGGGGCTAACATGCACCAAACACACACCAAAAATGCAGCAAGCAGGACTTTTAAAAAAACAACTGACTGGTGTGAAGAGTTCCATAGGATTTAAGGGGATGCATTATGCATTTTCGTAAGGGAGCAGTGTGGAAGCAACTGAAAACACAACTGAAACATAACTGATTGGTGTGAAGCGTTCCAAAAGAATTGAAACGATGCATTTTTCATGCGTGTAGAGGCAGACAGATGACATTACTACACGGACTGCCTTTGAAAATGGATGCCTTTGAGGAGTGGCCCAGAGAGGTGGTATATCAGTCTTATACAAATTGTTTACTACTTTCCCCACTAAGCTTTCCTGTAGGTTGGCCTGGGAGAGAGACTTGGAAATGGATATTACCGAGGAGGTCTGGAACACTATGGCAATTTCATTTAAATGTACTTATTGAGGTCAACTATAAGGTTATGTCCCAATGGTATTTGGTCCCAGCCAAGTTGTCTTAGATGCATTAGGGAGCCAACTCTGGGTGTTTTAGAGGTTGTGGTCAGGAGGGCTCCACGTTTCATACATGGTGGACCTGTCCCAAGGTTTGAAGGTTTTGGACAAGGGTGCATGCACTATTTTTCTGCTATGATTAACTATTCCAAAAAGGCACAGGTTGCACTTTTGAATTAACCTGTTCCCAATGTTTCCAAACATACCCAAACCTTGCTCTTTTACATGTCTTTGGCAGCCAAAATATCCATAGAAAATACCTGGAAATCCTGTTATAGCTGTCATGAAGCAGAAGCTCCCATGAATTATCAATGAAAATGAATACCAATTAAAAAATGGTAAGCCTGCTTCAGGACACACAATCCAGGTTCAAAAGGGGTTGGGATCCATTGCTTCGCTATTTACAGGTATCACCATCATGAACGGAGCCTGAGGTGCAGGAGGGGTGGGAATCTGGTTGGATTTCTGATTATTTTTCTCTTCCCTACATTGGATATCAATATCATGGATGATCTCTTTTATGACTCAAAACTTTAGTTCTGGAATGCAAGGTCTGCTGGAGATGCCCTATAACTTCTCTTGATGAAGGAGTGGGACCTTTTTTGCCTTACAGTTGCTAATTTTATATTTGCCATTTTTTATTTCTGATGGTTTGTATATTACCTTTGCATATTTATCCTTTGTATACCTTAGGATTTTATTGCTTATATCTTCGACTTTTGTTGATGTAACAATGGCATTGTGAGGAACATGTCGCATATGACTTTCTTTTTATACTGGTTAACTTGAAAATCTTCAATAAAAACGTATTGAAATTAAAAACTGATCCATGTGAAAGGGCCCTTAGTATTTCTTAAAGTGTTACTAAACCTAGAACCCTGCATTCACTATATCTAGTCTATCACAGTACACAGAGCATGGAAATGCAATTGTTTTATTAAATGTAAAACTTCTAAATACCTTTTCTCATCACCAGTTAGAGAAGGCTTGTGACATCTATCAGTGTCCAGCAGTGCACTGGTTAAAGCTTGTAGGAGAAGTTTTAATTCTCCTCTCACTGTCCTATGAGATTGCAGGACTCCTGACCCTCTGTCTGGATAGTGCTGATTGGCCCTGTGCTGATCACATGCACTCTCCCAAGAAAAAGAAAAAACAATACACAACAAACTGAGCATGTGCAGCTTGCTTGTTCTATCAGGAGATGAGTCAGGAACAGTAGAAAAAGGTGAGGATCAGAGTAGACAGGATCAAACATCCTTTTTTCACAATGCAGAGGATTAACCACTTAAGTTCCACAGTGAGTATAACAAGCATGCTTTACTGCATATGCAGATTGATTTTACTGTTGTGGGTTTAGTAACATTTTACATTTTATTACACTGAGCAGTTATTATCAATTACACATTAATTAAATGGATTCAACACTTCTGAAACACACCAATTATTAGTCTGACACAATTTAAGAAAGCATGATTTGCAAAAAAAACTGGCCACGCTTTTATCTGAAACTTGTGCCAAAAACTATATGTTGGCTGTAACTGTTGACTTATTGTTTTGAAATTGTTGATTTCCTGGCTGCCATTCTGGTCTTGGCTTAAATGCTTGAATCACCAACACAAAAATAGGGATAAGGGGATCTAAATGTGACATGAAGATTACTGAAGTCAAAGGTTGAGCCTGATAACCAGTTCAATAGAATTTTCAGACAGAGCTCACTGTGATAGCAAGCAATATAATTTTATCAGAAATATAGATATAATACTCATGTGCTGCCACAAATAAATGATAAGCTGCTGCAAACACCTAAATGTTTTCCCACATCAATAAAACTCCCCAAGAATAGTGCTGCACTGCCCCCTAGCGACCCAAGAAAATACATGAATAATAAACACCCTCCTAAGCATCAAACCCAATGCGAAATAGAACAACTCTGTGAAAGGAGGTCAATAGTAAATAAAAAAACAAAAACTGACTGAGCCACTAAATCCAAATGATATGTGAAATATATATAAAAAAAAATAACCACCTGGCCAGCCTATAATAAACATCTAGCTGAACTGAAGAATAAAGTGTAAAAAAACAACAAAAACAGTGAAATATGTGAAACGTATATCAGAAATAAAACACAATCACAATGGCAGTAAACACCTGGCCGAGCTGTAATAAACACCTAAAGCAGAAAGTGTGAAAATCAACAAAAAGAGTATAAAGTGATGTAAAACAAATGCCCAGCTCAGCAATCAGCTCCCTAGTAGAATAAATATGTGATGAATGAAGTAAATGTTCAATGGGGCTGGATATTCACAAAAAGAGGCTTGCTACTGGGGGCACTCAGCAGGGGGAGGGAGCCAAGACCTCCGGCAGGGGACCCAATATGAAGCAGATAGGGGCTGCTTAGTGCAAAACCATTGCACAGAGTAGGTAAGTAGAATTTTTTTTTTTTTTTTTAAATTACCTTTAGAATTACTTTAACAGCCTCCCGCCCGCCATATAGTGTAATGATGGGCGCAAGGCAGTTCTCTCGGACACAGTGGATCACCGATCAACCGAAAGAGCCGCGGATGTCGGCTCGGTCAAGTGATCAGCTGTGTCCAATCATAGCTGATCTCATGTAAATAGGGCAATGCCGGTTATCGGCATTTCTCTCCTCACGAGCTGTCACGCTGACAGCTCAAGAGGAGAGCAGAGCCGGTAATCGGCATCCCTCAGAGGGGACATGTGCTCTGATCATCAGGGCACTGATGATCAATGTGCCCTGATGATCAGTGTAGTCCCAGCAGTGCCACCTGTCAGTGTCCATCAGTGCCAGCTGTCAGTGCTCATCCATGCCACCTGCCAGTGCCCATCAGTGCCACATCAATGTCACATATCAGTGCCTACCAGTGCACATCAATGCCACATATCAGTGCCCATCTGAGCTGCCTTTCAGTGTCACCCATCAGTGCCACCTATCAGTGCTGCCAATCAGTGCCACCTATCAGTGCTGCCAATCAGTGCCACCTATCAGTGCTAGTCAGTGCCACCTATCAGTGTGCATCAGTGCCGCCTATCAGTGCCACCTAACAGTGCCAGTCAGTGCCACCTTACAGTGCCAGTTAGCGCTGCCTATCAGTGCCATATATGAGTGCTGCCTTTCAGTGCCCATCAGTGATGCCTGTCAATGCCCATCAGTGCCGCCTACCAGTGCCTCCTCATCAGTGCCACCTATCAGTGTCCATCAGTGCAGCCTATCAGTGCCCATCACTGCAGCCTCATTAGCGCACATCAGTGAAGGAGAAAAACCACTTATTTACAAAATTCTATAACAAAAACTAAGAAAAAAACTTTTCAAAATTTTCTGTGGTTTTTTGTTTAAGAAAAAAATAAAAAAAAAAAACAGAGGTGATTAAACACCACCAAAATAAAGCTCTATCTGTCACAAAAAAAAATTATAAAAAATTCATATGGGTACAGTGTTGCATGACCGCGCAATTGTCATTCAAAGTGTGACTGTGTTGAAAGCTGGAAATTAGCCTGGGCAGGAAGGGGGTATAAGTGCCCTGTAGGCTTGTGGTTAAAGATAAGTAAATTGATCTTTCAAAAGTACAGTTATCCTTTTGAACTCCTAGACAGTTAAAAACACTGGTGTCATAGAATGCTACTTGCATTAATTTTTCATGGAAATATACAGTATGAAGAGTAAAAGAGTACCTAGTGCAACGTCCCATGGAAGTAGTGAAAAAAAAGTATGTACTCATAAAATACAATACAAAACAGGCCTATTCACATACAAAATTACAGTTAGAGGTGTTCCATGCTAAAGTCAAACTCCAGGGACATGAAAAGTCAGGAAGTCTGAATGCAATCAAGTTACATTCTGCACAGAACAAAGTATCCCTCACTCCATACTTACATTCTTCTAATTATTGCAGCTCTGTATTAATTAATGCATACTTTAAAGTGGTTATAAAGGGGTTTTTTTTTATAAAAAGTAGTCTTCTCATAGAAAGAAGTTATACTTACCTGTTCTGTGCAATGGTATTGCACAGAGTGGGCACTTACATCTGGGGTTCGCAGCCAGCGCTCTCGCTACTTCTCTTCTGCGAATGCCCCCATGACAAGCCTGCTGCTACAGGGGCACTTGTGTGATCATGCTCTCAAACTGAGCTGTGTACTTCCATAGACACAGACAGTATGATTCAGCCCCACCCCCTGCTCTCTTCTTGCAGAATGTGATTGACAGCAGCAGGGGCCAATGGCTCCTGCTGCTGCCTCTGTATCCTGTGAGAAAAGGAAGAGGGAAGAACACTGGTGCAGACGAGCATAGCCCTGGATCAAGAAAGGACTCAGATGTTTAGGGAGGTGGTGGTGGCAAAACAAATGACGGGACAGGGAATGCTTTAAGTAAAAGCAATGTCTTGATTTTAGAACCACTTTGAATTCATTTATTTATTGCAAGTAGTGTAAGTTTCTGAATTTGACTTGGTATCAGCCTCTTACCATCCTTGTACAGTAGAGCTCAGATTGGGGGTGGGAAAAGCATCACAAGAAGCAAGTCAGCTTAAAAAAAAAAAATATACACAGATGCAAGCAAGGGCCCTTTTTATCTCCTTTTTCTACAACTCTCTGGGTTCCTGAACAAACCTCTGTGCTAGGTTTTTCTGTGTTTGAAACATGCACACATATTTTAATACTGTCTGTTTATGTTGTGTGCTCTGGTTTTTAAATTATATGAAAAACAGAATAGTTCTAGTTTGGGTAGCTAACTTACCTATCTTCCATACCAAAGTTAATTCCTTGACAAGTTATTTTGTCAGGTAATAACGTTAACATTAAACTCAAGGCAAATAAGACAAATAGTTGAAATAGATATACTATATACAGTACATGAAATCCTTTATCTGTGGAGAATTTGTAATTCTGTTCAGTCATTCATGTAATCCAGGCATCCCTGCTAGACAGCATAGCCAGGTCTGTAAAGGAGCAGCAGCACACTCATGAGGTTATCACTCTATACTCCTCCTGTGAACATTTTACATTGTTACACATACAGCACTAGAAGAAATACAGCCTTGACTGGCTTAGAGTACAAGCAGAATAGTTCAGGTCAGAGTTCAGGCTAAATCAATACATGGGAAGGAAACTGCAAGCATAATAGCAGCAATTTATTTTGAAAGTATTCTTTTTCACCACTCCTTATGGACCATTAAACAAAAATGATAAAACTTCTAAAAATAACACACACCCTAATACATAAAGTAGTTACTTTTCTTTCAGAGGAAAAGCTGTAATAGGGTTGATTTGCATGTTTATAGCGCATTTTATTTATATCTGAAAACACTTGCAGAACACCAGGGAACTGAATAAAAGTCTGACAAGTGCTAGAACCTAAGACAAGAAAAAAAAAAAAAAAAAACTACCCATGTGCACAAAACCTATGTTTCAAATTAGCTATAAAATTGGATAAATTTTCCATTTGGTAGTTTTCCTACTGTAATTTATTCTCTTATTGCACCCCTGAAACCATTTTACGATGAATACACTCAAGTACATTGTGAGACCTATATTTGGAAATTGGAAATGCACACAGTTCTAAAGTTTGAAGTATATTTCCTTGATTTTGCCTATTTACTTTATATTGTGCATTCAGAATCTAAAATGTTGATTGGATAAGAGGCTCACTATATGTATATGTAATTCAACAATGATGCTAACTAAACACATTTAAAAAATCTCACATGCTCAATAAAAAAATGTCTATTTCCCTTGTTTAACATTCTCATTACACTAAAGATACACACTGACATTCCTTGGAGACACACTAACCTCAAGCTATCATCATTTAGACTTTACATAATTATTGCAAGAATTCCCAGCTGGCAAAGGGACTCAACCTATATTCATATTTTAGAAATGTCAAAAATTACAGTGCAGTTTAACATACATTAACCTAATGCATGTTTAACAAAAAATGTGGCTTATTGCCAAAATACAGACACAAGGTTGAGAAGCATGAATCTGCATACAGTAAGTGTGATTCTTGATAATGTTCATGCATTTATTAATGTAACTGCAATTATCAACAAAGAGCTAAAGGTCACACCAAGGGTTTGGAAAGTACTAGTCCTATGTTGGTGACTGGTGTCCTGACATACATTTTGGATAGATAAAATATGAAGTGAAAGTACAAATCAAAGGTTAAAAGTCAGGACCTAGGTCTGGTCTATGTCTTTGTCAGAATTGTTGGCTAGCCTACCATGCAGAGTCCTTACATTAACAGAGCGGTGTGAGTGCTTTTTTTTCCTTTTCATTTAAAATTTTGAGGTTTGTTCCTTTTGTATTGTTTTATTGTTCTTGGCTCTTGAGTACCACTGCAGCACATGCTATATAGTGGCTGAATGGGTTCAGCCCTGTCCTACGACCAGACATCTTTTTAAAACACACTTTGGTGGGGACCCCCCACACTGGGCAGAAGACCGTGCCTTGAGTGCTGTACACTCCTGGTCCATTCCGGCCGGTGAGTTGTATGGTCCCTGCATAGGGGTCAGGGGATCCAGGTCCCTCATTCCTCTTCAGATTTAAACCTGCATTTGCATCACATCTGGCCCTTGTAGAAACATATGTTAACACTTGCAGATATATATATATATGTTAGCCATAAGCCATGTCAACTCTGTTACATAACTTCTATACATGGTACTGCCTTTTGTTTTTGTATATGAAAAACGATGCCTGAAAATAAAGATTAATTAAAAAAAGTTGGGTAAGGTACTTTAGGGTCAGTCTAGGGTTCTACTCATAAGCACAGACAGAACATCAGAGGGATGGCTTCTACCAACAAACATCTTTTTAATAGGATAATGCCATCCTCCCTTAAAGTGGTAGTAAAGTCATTTTTTTAAATAAAAAAAGCTTCCTCCCTGCAAGTTTAATTCCTAATGTACTAGTATACACCACATACTAGCACATTATGACAAGAAAAAATATATGTGAATGAATGAGCTTGTCAAGCCCAGACAAACTACAGTGCTCAGGAGTGGTCTGATAAACCAGTCATAATGTGGATGGAAATTGTAATAAATCTACCAAATGAATGGATCACACAAAATGGGTAAAAATGAAAAGTACCAAAGAAGAAAAGGGATGAAAATTGTGGAAAAAAATAATTGGTAAATGACAATATTAATGACATGCACAAACAGTATTAAAAGATTTGCACAGGATAGCCCTAGCACAGGGGCGTTCAAACTATGGCCCTCTAGCTGTTGAAGTACTACAAGTCCCATCATGCTTCTGCCTATGGGTGTCTTGCCTGTGGATGTCAGAGTCTTGCAAGGCCTCATGGGACTTGCAGTTCCTCAACACCTGGAGGGCCATAGTTTGGACACCCCTGCCCTAGCAGCTAGAAGACCAGAGAGGGCGCTCACTTTTCAGCCACTGGAAAAAACAAAAGAAACTACAGTGCAACCCAATAGTGTAGCATTAAAAATAAATGACAATGTATAAAAAAATAGAAATGCACAAATGTGCAAGGAATGGCGTAAAGGTGACTTGGGTGCCAGAAATATCTGAAGGACAGCCAGAAAACCACCAACCTTGGGACTGTAGCACTGTTGTTTCTTTTGTTTTCTTCTAGCACATTATGACAGTCTTACCTACAAATGGAGCCTCCAGTGCTGTGCTGTCATGGCTCCTCTTGGTCTTCTGTGCATCCATCTTCCCCTGGTCTTCTTTCTAGGTTCTCTATCTTTGGCCACTTGAAGGCTGGGCTGCAGCGACGTCATTCCCATGTATGCACATGGGAGTCACACTGCCATGGCACAAAGAGCGGGCCATAAGTGCGTAACTCAAATCACAATATTGCTGAGAGGCAGGGGGGACATTTATGACAAAAGAGACCACTAGGGTCTGTTATAAAAACCCTGCCTGTCAGTGGATTTGAAATAAAATTACTTTACTACCATT